AGCAGATAAAATGAAAATTAAAGCCAAAGAGATACAACTACATATCTAATAAAAAGGTAAAAATTTAAAATACTAATCATTACCAAATGTTGGCAGAGATATGGAAAAACTAGAGTGCTCATACAGTTCTAATGAAAGTGTAAAAAAATGGCACAACCAATTTGGAAAACAATAGCTACTTTCTTTTAAATTAAATATACACCTACTATATAATCTAGCCATTCTGTTTCTAGTCCTGCCTGGTGAAGGGAGGGAAGGGAAGAAGGGAAAGATTACAAGGGACATTAGAAAACGTTCTGAAGTGCTAGCTATTGATATGTTCATTCCTTGACTGTGGTGATAGTCTCATGGGTTTTTACATCTATCAAAATGTATCAAACTACATATTTGAAATACCTACAATTTACTGTATGTCAATTACATCTCAATAAATTTGTATCTTAAAAAATGTGAGACAAATAGGCTATCTGTTAATCTAAAGATACGTCCTCACAAAACATTTCATGATCACAAGGGAAAAATAGAACTTTACATAGAGAAATAGAGCAGCCACGACCTCAACTAAGTGGTCAAAATTACCATTACCAGGAATAGGACATCTTGACAGCTCGTACTCCTCATATGCTGCATTGACGAGGCCACAACATCACTTTTGTGGTATCCTTACCAAAATGTGCGATGTAAATTTAATCATGAGAAAAGACAGACAAAACTAAATTAAGGACCATTCTGAAAAAAATACTTAACTGGCTGGTACTCTTCAAAAGAGTCAAGGATCATGAAAAACAAAGGCATACTGTGGAACCATTACAGCTGAGAGGAGATAAAGGAGAAATGACAACTAAATGCAATCAGGGGTCATGGTGGAGAGGACCTTGTACCAAAACAGGACCTTCGTAGGACAATATTCAAATCAGGTGTGCAGATTACTTAATGATATTATATACATATTGATTTCCCTGTCCCATTAACTGCATAAAATGTTACTATTAGGGAAACTCGTTGAAGGGTCCAGAGGATTCTCTCTGTACTGTTTTGGTAGCTTTTGCTAAAGCCTGAAATTATTTTTAAACTTTAAAACTTTAAGCAAGATAAAGATACTTTTAGACAAACAAAAGCTGAGGGAATTTGTCACCAGCAGACTTGAATTATGAGAAATATGTGAAAGGAAATTCTTCAGGCCAAAGGAAAATAATACCACATGGAATTTCCGAGCTACACAAAGGAATGAAGGGTGCCATAAAGGTAAACATATGGCTACAAGTAAGAGAAGAATATATTTGTTTTTTAGGATTTTCATAAGACAATTGACTACTCAAAGCAAAAAAAAAAAAAAGATATATTATGGGTTTTAGTTAGAAATAAAGTATATGACAAAAGTAAGGAAAAGGGGTGGGAATACATGTATACTACTGTAAGGTGCTTATATTTTAATTGAAGTATGTAATACCTAAAGATAAATGTGGTAAGTTAAAAATGCACTATAGATTCCAGGGATATAACAAAAACTAAAAGAATTTTTAAAAAAGGTGTAGCTAATAAACCAAAAGAGAAGATAAATGAAACATTAAAAATATTTAATTAATCTGATAAGATAAATAGAAAAGAAATAGCAAGGTGGTAGACTTGACTCCAACATTTTATATTACACATTAAGTGTAAATTAAAAGTGTAAAAAATAAACACACCAATAAAAGGCAGAGGTTTTATTAAAATATATTATCTAGTATGTGAAAAAAAAAGGCAGAGGTTGTTAAACTGGATAAAAGAACAGAACCCAATTACATGCTATCAATAAGAAGCACTCTTTAAACGTGCAGATAGGTTAAAAATAAAAGAATGGTAAAAGAAATACAATGCCAATGCTAGGTTAAAGCAAGGTAGAGATGTAAAACCACAGTAGGCCATGTGGGAGTACAGTGCCCTCAACCACCATGCCACCTGCTGGCCCCAAAATACTGTATTGATATTAGACAAAGGAGACTTTACAAGAAAGCTACCTTATGAAGAAACTTGAAACCAACAGGCTAATAACAGAGCTTCAAAATGCATGAAGAAAAACTGACAGAACTAAAGAGAGAAGCAGATCATTCATAGAGTTGGAAATTTCAACATTAACTCAGTAACTGATAGAACAAGAAGGCCATGAATCAGTAAAAAAAGACAGTAAAACAGTAAAGTGAACAATACCAAGTATTGATTTGACTTCATTAAAATTTATAGCATGCTGCACCAATAATTCTAGAATACATATTATTTTCAAGCATGTATGAAACATTCACCAAAATAGATAATGTGTGGGCCATCAGAAAACTCTCTATAAACTTAAAAGGATTGAGATAAGATGTAATATAATCTCTGATGTCCGTAGAATTAAATTAGAAATCAATAAGAAAAGACAACTGGAAAATCCCAAAATTATTTAAGAAGTAAACAAACACCTTCTTAAATAACCTATGGGCAAAGGAGAAATCCCAAGGGAAATTACAGTACATTTCAAATGGAATGGTAATGAAAGCATAAAAAAAACAACATGTCTGAGATGCATCCAAAAGCAGTGCTTACAGGGAAATGAAATGCTTAAAGGTTTAAAAATCAGTGATTTGGGGTTCCTCCTTAAAGCTAGAGAAAGAAGAACAAATTAAACTGAGAAGAAGTAGAAGGAAGGAAATTTAATAAAAAGAGAAAGCAATGATATTTAAAAAGGAAAGACAATAGAGAAAAACAGTAATGTGACTCTTTAAAAATATCAATAAAATTGATAAAACTTTAGCTAGGCTGATCCTAGAAAAGAGAGAGAGAGAAAAAAAAACCCACACAAATGATCATTATCAGCAATGAAACAGGTGACATCACTACATATCCCACAGACATTAAAAAATAATAAGGGAATGTGATTTTTACAAGTTTTATGTCAATAAAATTAGATAACTTAGATGAAATGAACTAATATTTGAAAGACATAAAATGCCTGTCTACTAAAAAATGAATTAATAAGTTAAAAATGCTCCAAAAGAGAAATTCCCATACCCAAATACCCTCGACAGAAAATTACATCAAACATTTAAGAAAGAAATAATACCAAATGTATATACAAAATCTTCCAAAAAGTAGAGGAAGGCACATTTCTCAGTTTACTTAATAAGTTTGCATTATACCAAAAACATTATGTATAGTATGTATCATTATACCTGATACCAAAACCAAAAACCATTACATACCAATATCTCATGAACAAAGACACAAAAATTCTTAACAAAATGTCAGCAAGTGGAGTTCAGCAGCATATATAAAGGGTAATATATCATAAGCAAGAGGAGCTTAGGAATGCCAGGTTAGTCTAACATTTTTAAAAACCCTCATGTGAATCATCATAGTGCCAAACTAAAAAAGAAAAATCCTGTGATTATCTTAATAAATGAGGAAAAAGCATTTGACAAGATTAAGCACCAGTCGTGATGAAAGCTTTGTGCATACTATAGAAAAACCTTCTTTAGCCTGGTAAAGGGCATCTAGAAACAACCTAGCTAACATCATATGTAATAGTGAGAGTTGTGTGTTTCTTCTCTAAAACTAGGAACAAAACAAGGATAGTTACTCTACTTCTATTAAACTTTGTATTGGAGGTCTAAGCCTGGTACGATTGAACAAGAAAAAGGCGAGTGGGTTAGAAAGAAAGAAAAATACACTTATTCACAGTTGGTTGTGTCATCTAGATTTGGCCTTGTGGAATTGTTAGGTGTAGAGTTGTAGAGACGGAAAGGAAAGCTATCCTTCATAGCAATAGCATCATGAGCAGAGCCACGGAAGTGGGAAATTACAGGGTAAGTGTGGGGAACAGCTGATATTTTTTAAATTAACTTTATTGAAGCATAACTTGCACACCATAAAATGCATCCATTTTAAGTGAATGGTTGAATACTTTGAGAAAGATATACAGACCCACATGACCACCACCTCAGAGAGCTTCCTTCTGAAAGCGATCACTGCAAGCAGTTCTCATGTTTAGAAAATTGTAATTTTATTCTGAGCTTTATAATTCAATATTAAATCCAAAACAACATGGAAGCAATAAGAGAGACCACAAAAAATGTAGTTTACATCTTATGCTCTAGTTTAACTCCTGTTTCTTAAGCAGGTGGCTTAATTATTCATAGCCTCAGTTTCCTCATTCACTAAATGGGGATAATAATAAACCAACTTCACAAGACTGCTGTGAGGATTAAAATGAATAATGTTAAGCTTCTTGCACAATGCCTGAAACATGGGAGGACCAGCAGGCACTAGTCTCGTCATCATTAGAGAGGCATTTACTTTATGGGAACCCTCAGAAGCATGGTGTGGGCCAAAGAACTGTTGGCAAAGGCTTTGCAAGGCCCTAAATGAAACTAAAGAAAGGCTAACCAGAATGGCAATTCTGAGTTCCACTTCCTCACAGTTCTATTTCACCATCAGTGGTGAAGGCTCCAAGGTATTTCATGCACAAACATGTTGCCTCGAGATGGAATGGGCCGTTTGAGAATTGGTTCTGGAACACATTTAGTACAGGACACTTAAAAGGTACCCCTTGGTTTGTTAGATCTAGCCCCTGGCGTTTCCACAGAGCCCACTCTCCCACCTTTCATTCAGTGGGAAGCTGGAGACACCACACCCTTACGGTTTGCTCAGATGGTCTTGTTCCACTGGGGGCCGCGACCACCCACTGCAGCTCCATCTCCCTGGTCCGCTAGCACCCTGGCTCTAAGATCCAGCTCTATATCAGCTTCAACCTGTCACCTCATGTCAAGACCTTCTTCTTCCATGTTCCAACCTGTCACCTTACCTGTTCAACACTGCCAGCTGCCTCATTTGCAACTGTTATCCGCTGTGTACTGCTGAGACACTCCCTTAGACAGCCAGCTTCCTGGGGACCCTGTGCCCCAGCTCCCAGCACACAAGACCCAGGACTCAGTTGCACCCCTAGCATAAGTCAAGGGTCATGAGGATGGAGTGCCATCTACCTGAGCCACAAAGAGCTGGAACTCGTCAGGCAGAATCCAGGAGCGAGGGTAGAAGTTGTACTCCTCAGGAAAGAGATTCTGCATGATTCTCACGGCTCTGCTCAGAGTGATTTTACGCACCATCTCCGTCATGCCTGGGGAGAAGAGAAGCTGTGAGGTTTTTACAACAGTGGGCCATGCGCGATAAAACAGCCATTATGGGGACTTTTAAAACCAGCCACCCGACATATTCACTTTTCAGACAGGATTTTTTTTTTTTTTTTGAGTGTGAGTTGTTCCCCACTGCAGTGACCTGTGCTTTGGAAAGAACTACCAAATTAATAAAAAAAATTTTTTTTAATTAAAAAAATAAATAAAAACTTGAGGTAACAGACAATATTCTCTCCTGATAAAAAGAAAGGATCGGCTTGAAACAATGAGTTTTCACCTAGTTTATTATTCTATTCTTCGTTATCCCCTTAAGTAATGAATAGAGAACCATATACATCTTTCACTTAAAACTTAATGGCTTTGGGACCAGCAGATGGTATAATGGTTTGTCACTGGACTCCCTTGTAGTCGACTATGGTTCGAATCCTCGAACTGGCAGCTTAAAACTGACACCAAGTGCCTGTGCATGCATGCCCAAGATCCTGAGAGGATAATCCAGGAGAAGAGATTGAGGCGTGGCCTTCCCACCCAGGGGGGTGATTTCTCAATTTCTGTCTCTCTGTCTCTCTCTGTTTCTCTGGTAAGCACATGCATTCTATATCAAAAATCTTTCTCAAACAAACAAAAAAACTTAATGTCCTCTTTAATTTTGAGCCACCATACATACTTTGGAATTTCTTCCATATTATACCCTAGAGAAAATTACCTGGAGAACTCTGCTTACATTTGAGAAACTTAATTAAATCTCTCTGTTTCAATCTTTCATGAGTATTAAAGGTATACAACAGAAAAGGAGAAACCTTTCAGCAGTGATTCTGTCTCCTTGACTCAATGACAGAGAGTTGAAAGGATATCGTAACAAAACTATACATAGTTTAAGGGGGGGAAATGCAATCCATAGGACGGTTATAAGCACTGACTCCGATGTTAAACAGACCTCATTAACTTGGTCAGAGGGGATTGAAATGCCGCAGACATTTTAAAAGAATGGTGGATTTTTTTTTTTTTCTTGTAACATCACTAGTATCTCTGAGAAGAGAAGCCACTGAGTATATGAGGGAACTTCAAAAAGTTCATGAAAAAAAGTAGAATTAAAGTATGAGTTTATTTTGGTACAAAAAAGAGAAAACCCAAGTATAGTTTTTTTTTTCCTCATGTATCTTAGCAAATATTAAACAAATAGGTAAAAACTATACACTTTAGCTTGCTTAATTTTTTAAGGAAAATATCACTGCTAAAAATGGAGACCTAGAGTTTCATTCTGAAAGAGACTAAACAGTCCCTTTAGTGACACAAGAAATTTGCTTAACAAAGCTATTTTTGATAGAAAGTAAAAAGTTCTCTGTCAGCTTGGCATGCCCAAAGTAGCACAGGTTTCAAATGGGCACAGACAGTATGACTAACGTTTCTCTAAACCCCCATATTCAGGAAGTGAAGGGTAAATGTCGGAGAAAAGAAGGTTTTAATAACCAACTTCTTGCTTCTCTCAGCAGATTAAAAAGAGCAATAAATCTAAAGATCGCGGCTTTAAGATCTCAATGCCCAGGTTCTTAGTTCTTGTTTAGACGGATACAGAGGATTAAGTAAAAAGAAAAGAGCTTAAAAAGCACTGATTAATTTTGTTGTAATGTGGACTCTTCAGTATTAAACTCACTGAGGACACTAGTCTGAGCTTCCCAAGAAATGAGCCTGGAAAATTGCAGCTATTTCCACTCCTCTCCCTTAAATTAGAATGTTCAAGTTATAAGTGCTAAACGCAAAGTAAATGAAAGAAAATGTTGCCTTTTTTTGGACCTTTTGATTTGTGTTTGACCATATCTTACATTGTTAACTGTCATACCTAACTGCAATATAGCATCTTACACTGACCAAATAGTACTGTGATTTTCCTGCATTTTAATGGCCATGTGACAGGTCCTCTTGCAGAAATCTCTCAGCAGGGCAGAAAGACACATAACATAGACAGAAGGGCTGTGAGTACCAGAGGGCAGTTTGAATGCTCCAGAAAAGTTTGTGAAACTCAGTGTCCAGCAAACTGTGTAAATATTCATTTCAAGTTGCCATGTGTGCTGTTGGTCTCCACACCAGCCAACAGATCTGTTTCCAGGTTTACCTGTGTCTCCGGGCAGCTCTGCACTGGAAACAGCCAGCCTCAGAAGCACACTTACAAGCCAGTGGCTTCCCCCTAGACACTTCCCTCCTGTAGGCTGCTAACACCCATCCCATCCCTGCCTGAGTGCCTGTGTCTGGGAAGCACTAGTGTAGACCTCCCTCATCCACTTACCACCAAAACTGATGGTTCCTCCTCCAAATCTGAGCTGCATTCCCACTCGCTGCTGCCAGGAAAAGAGTCTCTGGCCCCTCACTAGACTCTGGTGGAAGCTGCTGGCATCCCTGCCTCAGGGATGGCTCGGAGACAGGTATGGGACTGACAACTTCTTTCGCTAGGACCCTGACAAGAGTAACTGGGTTTCTAGCTGAACCAGGGCACCCATTCCCATGTGAAAGGGGAAGTCAAACAACACCTGCCCCTCTTCACTGAGACCCTCTCCTTGGGCTCTGGGACTCATCTGACCTGAGACAGAAGCTCTTTAGGTCTAACCATCAATTCCACGCTCCTAAGAATGTGCAATGTGTTCATGTTGGGGAATGTACTTTGCATGCTGTAATGATATACAGTGATTGAATGTATAAAAAATATTAAAAATAAAAAAGTGAGTACAACTTTGTATTCCAGTTAAATAAGGGGAATTTTACCTGTTTCTCTGAGGCTGCATTGCTGGTCCCCAAATTTCAGCAGCCTATCTTTTGCTCCCAGTGCCTAAGTGGGTACCTCACAGTGCATAGACCTGCCTTTGCCTTGTTCTCTCCAAAGCTCCTTCATTTCCAGCCTCACTTCTGTTCCCCCCAAAGCCTGCCCTGCAAGGACTAGAGTCCTCCTACCTGTGACTTTAGCTCAGCACCTGGGTTCTGCTGTCTCCTAGCTGTTTCTGCTGAGGCTGCCTGCCTGCCTAGTTTTCTCACTAAGGTCTATCCCTAGATGTTCCTAAGTAGGAGCTGCCCTATTGATTGGGAAAACCTCTGACACTAAGGGCTTACCTCCCACCCCTTCCAAGGCCTGGGTTCTTTCTTCTGCTACTCTGGAGACTTAAGCCCTGGTGGGTCTCACCCCATTGGAATTAACCAAGAGGGTAAGAGTTTGAGCTTCAGGCTTTCCCACACAACCCTACCTAACCCAACTAAAAGAAAACATGAATACTTTCAGATCCATCCTCCTCTCTGTGCCCACTGCCCTGAGTAGTCCATCTTTTGCCTGGGTATAGCAGCAACCTCTTGGCTGTGCCTCTGTTTGCTCTTTCAGCCTTTCCATCCACTTCCAGTGTGTCTCTCTGACTGATCTTTCTGAAATGCAAGCCACTGGAGAGTCACTCTCAGGCTTACACATTCCTCAGTGGCTCCCCACTGTACTCGGGTCCCTGCCTGTCACCTCCCCACCGCACCACTCACTTCACTCACCCGGACCAGCACCGCCATGTGTCCTCTGCTGAGTGCTCCAAGCTTTCTATGTCTTTGCACCAACCCTGCTCCCTTGTTTGGCATGGGGATCCATTCTCAGAGGTTCAGTTTATGCACCGGGACCCTCTCCAGGGTCTCTCACCCTGCCTGCTCCCCAGCAAATCTAGGTTAGATCACATGACCTTGCTCCAAACTCCGACAGCATGCTAAGCTTCCTCTAGCATAACATTTGTGTTATATTTTCCTCCTCTCTTGACATGTCTTTCTCCTTGTTCTTGTATTCTCTGAGACCAGTCTAGAGCTTGACAGATGACCACTCCCACAGATTCCTCATGGAAGCCCTCTGCCAGGGTGGGCTCTCAAGTACCACCCGGCCCATGCCACCACACATGTCAGACCCTGAAACAGCAAGAAACTGTTGTCTGTAAGCTGAGAGTGGACAATTCTGGATTTCCTTATGGCAGAGACATATCCAAATCCGATTATTTTTATAGAAAGCCTTAATTGATCAGGTAAGATATAATAATGTATTTTGGAACCCAGGAGATGGTATCATGGTTATGTCACTGGGCCCCCATGTAGTTGACCGTAGTTTGAGTCCCAGACTTGGAGGCTTAAAACTCACACCGGGCACATGTGCATACATGCCAAAAATCTCAAAAGGAGAATGAAGTGTAGGGATTGCAGTGTGGCCGTCTCCCCTGTGGGGGTGATTTCTCACTTTCTGTTTCTCTGTCTCTCTCTGTCTCTCCAAAAAGTGCACACACCCTATAGCAAATATCTCTCTAAAAAAAAAAATTAAATAGTGTATTTTGGATAAAGAACTTGACCTAGAAGAGTAACTGCAATCTACTGTGCTGACACAAACAAAATCCATTACCTCCTCATGTGATCCAGAAGTTCTCAATTTATTCAGCAGGTAAAATATTTATGCTTGCTTAGCATATCCACTAGAACTTACTCTAAGTAATACACAAAGCATAGAAAATGCATTTCTTAAATAATGAGATAATGTGAGAGACGGAAGGTAAGCTTGGACACAAACTGGAGCCTAGGGACAGATGGTTCTGGAATCACCCCCTGCTGAGAAGTGCTGTCTTTCGGGGGGCAGAGAGGAATCACCCCCTGCTGAGAAGTGCTGTCTTTGGGGGGGGGGGCAGCAGGTGTGGCAACTCTACTCTCTGCCTGGAGGTTCCAGGGCCTTCTTTGTCATTAAGATAATTAATTGCTGTTAGCAAAGTGGAAAATTATATGTTCCAATTCCCGGCATGTAGAGTAAGGGATGTAACAAACTTGCTTCTTTGGAATGAATATTCTTTCATCACCTATAACGAAGCTAGTCCTTTGGGGGTACTTCTTGCTGTATTTCTCATCCGTGTTTCAAATGTAGATCCATAGCTTCTGCTTTTTCCTACTCTCAGCCACTAGATGAGGCATGAGCAAGGGGACAAAATGTAGATGAAACCTCATTTGATGATTCATGCCTTAGGAACTCTGTTCTCATTCAGAATCGTTCTCTTCCAAACTATATTCTCCCAATATCTCAATAAGTCCTTTCAGGAACATCAAAAAATATCCTTTTCTCAGCAGCAAGACAGACAAAATAACAGCTATCCTATTAACCTGGTGCACAAAAACCCTGGCTGCAAGAATCATTCTCATACCCTTACAGAATTCTTTTTCCTTTTCTAAGAACATATGTGACCTTGGGTTAACTTTCTATCTCTGTTCCCTGGGAAACCAATAAAGGTAGAATGTTAGCTCTGTTACTAGACAAGGTTGAAATGATCCCTGATTGGTGAACTGAGCCTTAGCTCTAGGCTTTTCTGAGCTTGGTGGTTCTTTTGGCTTAGCATAACCTTGGAAGCTAGGCTATGGGGTTATTAGAAGAGATGCTGGCTTGGGACCAGCAGATGGTGTAGCAGTTATGTCGCTGGACTCCCACATGGTCAACTGTGGTTCTAGTCCTGGACCTATTGGCTTGAAATCACACCAGGTGCATGTGCATGTATGCCCAAGATCCCAAGAGGAGAATGGAGGAGAAGGGCTTGTGGCATGGCCATTCCCTCTGGGAGGGTGATTTCTTACTTTTCCTCTCACTGTGTCTGTCTCTCTCTCCAGTGAGTGCATGTGCCCTAAGGCAAAAATCTCAGAGAAATAGAGAGAGAGAGAGGGAGAGAGGGAGAGAGGGAGAGAGGGAGAGAGAGAAAGGGATGCTAGCTTCTATGGAGCACCTAATCCAAGATGACCTCACATCCAACCAGGTGGATCTCATCTCCCTGCACCTAATCTTTTGCTTGGGAGCCAGAGATTAGTCAATGGAACTCTTTCATATACTCCATTGACGAGAAATGCTTGACACTGACTGACACTCTGTCTTCCCTGCCCTATATCCTTCTAAGTGAATCTGTGCCAGGTTGGCTGAGCGAAGGGATCTTGTAAGTTTGCATGCTTAGTTGAAAACCCTCTGATGGATGTGGCTTCACTAACCATGTATGATGCATGATATTGGGTTTTCTGAGAGATTTTTTCCTTAAATAATGGGATAGAACATCAAAGAAGAATAATTTCACTTGCCCTTTAAAATAAGAACAAATGATACAATACTAAGATAAAACACCTTGTATTCAGGCAACTATATTGAGGCTTCAACCATGTAAAAATGATTCTAAAATATGGTAAAGTTTAGGAGGAAACATTCTGTTAAATGAGGGATGAGATTCAGGGTGACGTTCTTTTAGAAGTTATTTATTATTGCATCATAGTACAGTCTGTGATATATTAAAATTTTTGAAAATAAGTGAAAGACTGGCTGGATCATACCCAGCTTAACTAATTGTTTCCCTAAGCAGGCCTCTATCCTTAGCTACCCTCTTCACTTAATGGTCAACAATAAAAATAGTAATCATAGCAGAAGAAAGTGGTAGAGATTTTTTGTTTGTTTTGTTTTGTTTTAGAGAGATTTTTGCTATAGGGCATGTGCACTCACTGGAGAAACAGAATGAAAAACGAGAAATTACACCCTCCCCCCCCACCCGGGGGGATGGCCACACCATAGTTTCTTCTTCATTCTCCTCTTGGGATTTTGGGCATGCATGCACATGCACCTGGTACGAGTTTTCAAGCCGCCAGGTTCAGGACTCAAACCATGATCAACTATGTGGGAATCCAGCAATGTAACCATCACCCAGTCTGCTGGTCCCAATTTTTTTTTTTTTAAATACGTATGGGAAGTGGACTATCTTAACATGCTGGCTATAGCACTCTTCTAGCACTTAGGATCCTCTTTGTAGGCTAGGTCTCATTGAGACAATGTTGTTGGATTAAAGACAGAGGCTTCCTGTACCTACAGCATTCAGAGTGCAGACTGGTGTGTTTGGTTAAATTGGTACCTCCAAATACAATAAAGAACAAGGTAGCTGCTATCCACTTCTGTAATATAGTCCTAGAATTCTAGCACTCATTTCCTGTTGATGAAATGATCTCATTCTTTCAGAGACTACAGCCCCCTGCTCGACCCCCATGCTATATCTACAACCTAAAAGGTGAAAGCCACCTTCTTCCCTGGTGGAATCGGACCAAGAAAGCATCTTTAAACCCTCTCCCAGCTGTAAGCCTTCAGTGGTTTGAGCCCTGATTATCTCCGCAACACCTTCCCTCTCGAGGAACGAGCCCAGCAGCAGTGTGGGCAGCAATCCCCAATTAGGAGTCCTCAAGTTTGATCTCAAAACACTGTCATGTTTTTGTAGAGGAGCACACCCTGAGATCCAGCCCTGGAAACACTTGTAAGTGCCAACAACAGCAGATACCTGGAAACTTGTTCACTTGACCGGAGAAGATGTCATTGTCGTGAAATGAAACTCCATGCCAGTAGATGTCACAGGGCAAGCGTCGACCGAATGGGAACTGGAAGGAAGAGAAGAAATGGGATTAATAATAAGAGAAGTAACCACACTGGGGGTCTAAAAAGAAATGTGACTAATAATCAGAGGAGAGGTGACCACACTGGGGGTCTATTCCACACTAATTCCTGGCACCCTGGCAGATGTCACACAACTTAATCCTCTCATGAGCACGTGAGGTAGATGAGCTTCGTTCCTATCTTACAGACAAGGAACACATTCGGATGGGTGTGATACTTACCCAGCAGTTCTGATACATGTGGCAGACACCCGACTTTACAGGCACTATTTCACTTTAATCCTCACCATTATTCTACAAAGGATTATTCCTATTTCACTGATTAAAAAGTCAAGACAAAGAGGTCATTTAACATGCCCAAGGTCTCACAAAGCTGGTAAGGCGAGAAATTAGGATTTGAACCCAGGTCTATCTGAATTCCCAGCCTGTACTTTCCTTTCTCTGAAAACTGCAATCCTCATCCCAGCCCCACAGAATAACCTCTCAAACCAGCCTATGGCCTGGTGGTTATGTGAGCTGGATCCCACATAGCCAACTGCACAGCTGAAGTCCTAGACCTGGCAGCTTGAAAACATGCAAGGCACGAGTGTGTGTGTGTGCCCAAAACCCAGAAAGGAGGGAGAAATGGAGGAAAAAGAGTCACAGTATGGCTATACCCCGCGATGGGGGTTGTGGGTGCTTTCTTGCTTTCTCTCCCTCTGTTATTTTCTCTCAGAAAGCACACACACCCTCTGTCAAATTAAAAAATGAATAAGCTCTCAGAATCTCTCTCTCTCTGTCCCTCTCTCTCTCATACACACACACACACACAGAGAGAGAGAGAGAGAGAGAGAGAGAGAAGCTCCATGAAAGCAGGATGAATCTCTTATGCCTAAAACAGTCCCTGGAATTAACATAGCCTTTTTGAATTAATGAATGAACAAACCGAGGGTGGTTATCTTATTTAAGATGAGATAACCAGATTCTCTGTTCCAGGAATAGGGACCAAAAGATGCTACACAGCTCCAGCTGGCCCTTCACCTGGGAGGGTAACGAGCCAGAGCTGGGCACCGGTGCTTGGTTGCCTGAAGAGAGGCGCAAAGGCAGCCAGTCTGCGGGGAGAGAAGAAAGAAGCAGATAGGGGAGAAAAGTCAAGATGAGAGTGACCTTGGTTCCTAGGCTTCCAGGCCTCGGCCCAGGCCCTGGTGAGCCCAGCTGCCCTCGTGCCCTGGATCCTGTAAGGTAGCCTTGGGTTCTGAGACTTTGCGGTATTCTAAAATCCTCTTTGAAAGCACCGTAGGGTTTCAATTACTTGCAGTCAGAAAATCCCTCACTGAGACAAAAGGGCAAGTTATTTCTATACCCTCCTGATGCCTTTCAAAGTTACCAACAAAGTCTGCATTAACAGAATGTATTTTTTAAATCTGCCACTTAGACGACCTTGTTAGAGGAGAAAAGTGAGGATGTTAGTTCCTATTTAGAACTCACTTGTAAGAAGTCCAAAAGCAGAGGGCTGGTTGATCCCCAGCCATTCCAAATGAAAACCGAGGCAGGCGCACTCCAGCGCTTTACATCGGTCACGTGACTGCAGAACTGCGCCCAAGGGAGGCATTTGTTACATCCACTATTAGCATCAACAACTTCCTTCCACCCTTCACAGGATCTCACTCACGTTCTTCACATCCAGTGGGCTGTATGCTATCCATTCAGTACTCATAAATACAAAGAGACACAGCATATGTTATTTTCAATGCTAACGCAAAGAGGAAGAAGAAAATAACCAGAGAGCTTTCTCTAAAAAGCGGGTTATACTGTATCTAAGCAAAGTGTCCTCAGAGCCTAGTGCCTTTGCTGCCTGCAATGAGGGGCCAAGGCCTGCCCCATGGCAGTGGATGACCTGATGATGTTTTGTCACCCTGTTGCTGTCCTTCGAGCTTTATGCCCCTCAGGAACACCAGGTCAACCCTCAGTTCAGAAATACCTTTAGCTCTTTCAGTCCTGAGACTCCACCATTAAAAAAAAATTTATCTATTCATCCAATAATCATTACGTGCCAGACATTGTATGAGGTGCTGGGAATACATAAGAACATAATTTTTAAAATAGTTCCCAGAATTGCATGTTCCTAATCCTACCTACCTCTTTTTTTTTTTAATTAAAAAAAAAATTTGTTATAGAGCATATGTGCTTGTCAGAGAAAGTGAGAAAGTACCTCCCAGAGGGATGGTCATGCCACAATCCCTTCTCCTCCATTCTCCTCTTAGGATTTTGGGCATGCGCACAGACACACACACACACACACACACACACACACACACACACGTGCGTGCCTAGTGTATTTTTCAAGCCGCTGGGTTGAGACTTGAATCACACAGTCAGCCATGTGGGACTCAGCCATCTTAACCACACATGACAGGCTAGCCCATAATCCTACATATTTTCAAGCTTTTCTTAAAAATTATCTGTTTACACAGCTCACATCATATTCGATGATAAAAGTATAACAATTTTTTTCTTTAGAATCAAGAATAAGATACAGATACCTGGTTTCACCACTTCTATTTAATAGAATATTAGAAATTCTAGCCAGAGCAATGGGCAAGAAAAAGAAATAAAAGGCATCCACATTGGAAAGGAAGAAGTGAAATTAGTAAAATAATCTCTGCTTGTAGATGACATTATGCTATATGTAGAAAACCCTAAAGATTATATGAAATATTGTTAAAACAATAAATCCACCAAGGTTTCAGGATAAAATATCCACACATGAAAACCAATTGTGAGCGTCAGCCAGGTGTGGGAGTTGAAGGAGGTGATCCCACATGGCCAACTATGTGGTTCAAATGTGGACCCAGCAGCTTTAGAAACACATGGGTGAGTGTGAATGCTGGCCCCAAATCCTAAAAAATAGGGAGATATGGAAGAGAAGGGACTGCAGCATTATTATTCCCCAAGGGGTGGGGGGAGGTGCTTTCCCACTTCCTCCCTCTAGAAGGGACTGCAGCATTATTATTCCCCAAGGGGTGGGGGGGGTGCTTTCCCACTTCTTCCGTCTCTCTGACTCATCAGAAAACACACATACCCTCTGGCAAATTAAAAAAAAAATCAACTGTGTTTCTATACACTGACAATGAATTACATAAAAATGATTTTTTTTCCATTGGGCTGGCACCACCATGCCCAAAAATGAATTTTTTTAAGCAGCATTATTATTCCCCAAGGGGTGGGGGGGGTGCTTTCCCACTTCTTCCGTCTCTCTGACTCATCAGAAAACACACATACCCTCTGGCAAATTAAAAAAAAAATCAACTGTGTTTCTATACACTGACAATGAATTACATAAAAATGATTTTTTTTCCATTGGGCTGGCACCACCATGCCCAAAAATGAATTTTTTTAAAATTCCATTTACAATAGCATTTAAAAGTCCCTAGGAATTAACTTAACCAAGGAGGTGCAAGATTGTACACTGAAAAGCACAATAAGTTCCTAAAGGAGTTAAAGAGGACACAAATAAATGGGTAGAAATCCTGTGTTTACAGACTGAAGATAATTTTAAGCTGTCAGCATTATCCAAAATGATCTACAGAGTCAGTCCATCTCTACCAAGATTCTAAGTTTTTCAGAAGTAGATAAATCCATCCTGAAATCCATATGGAATTAAAGCAAACCCCAAGTAGTCAAAATAATCTTGAAAAAGGAATGAAGCTGGAAGTCTCACACTTTCTGATGCCAAAACTCATAACAAAGCTACAAAAATTAAGTAACATATAAAACAATGAGACGCCACTGCACACTTCTTAGAATGGCTAAAATTCCAAGCACTAACAAATGTAGCAAGGATGTGGAACAGGAACTCTCTCTTATTTCTTGTGGGAATGCAAAATGGTAGAGGCACTTTGGAAGATGTTCTGTTAGTTTCTTGCAAAACTAAACATAGTCTTACTATGGGATCCAGAACTTGTGTTCCTTAGTATTTACTAAAGTGAGTTGAACTTTGTCCACACAAAAACCTTCACATGAATGCTTATAGCAGCTGTATTTATAATTACTAAAACTTGGAAGCAGCTGAGATGTCTTCCTGTAGGTGAATGGACACATAAACTGGCATAGCCAATGAAATATTTTTCAGGGATAAAGAGAAATTAGTTATTAAGCTACAAAAAGACAAAGAGGAACCTTGCGTGCATATTATTAATGAAAGAAGCCAATGTGAAAAGGCTACATGCCATTTGATTCCAACTAGATGACATTCTAGAAAAGACAAATCTATGAAACAGGAAAAAGATCATTGGTTGCCAGGAGTGGGAGAGGAGGGAGAGGTGAGTAGCAGAACACAGATGGTTTCTACAGCAGCGAACCTTTTCTGTACAATATAGTAATGGTGAATACTTGTTATTATGCCTAGAATGTGCAACACCAAGAGTGAGCCCTAAGGAAAGCTATGGCCTTTGATTTGTGGCAAGTGCACCACTGTGATGCAGAATTTAAGAAGTGTGATAGGCTGTTTTGGAGTGGGGAGCAAAAGGTATATGAGAAATATTTGTACCTTCCACTCTACTTTGCTGTGAACCTAAAACTTCTTTACAAAATAAAAAATGATAAAAATAAAATTTAGAATACCAATGTGGTACTGTCTTAAAGACAGACATGTAAGACAATGGACTATGACACCCCAGAATCAAAGTCTTCATGTGTGGTCATATGATTTTCAAAAAAGGTGACAAGATTATTCAATGGGGAAAGGGAAGTCTTTTCAGCAGGTGAAAATTTGGGTATCCACATGCAAAAAAGAATGAAGTTGAACCCTTGCCTTACAGCAAACAAACAAAGCAAATTAACTCAAAATAGATCAAAGATCTAAACATAAGACCTAAAGCTACAAAACCCGTAGAATACAGGAGAAAAGGTTCTTAACATTAGGTTTGACAATGGCTTCTTGGAAATGACACTACGAGCACAGGCAACAGCAGGCGACCACTTGTCTGTTTGCCCAGGAAAGATCC